TCAGCGAGAGCACTGCTGAGATGGCGGTTCCAGAACCACATCACCCAGGACTTCCAGGACACGGGACTCTGATCGAGTTCTGTACTTCTTCAGATTCCATGATGGGAAGAGTTGGAAAAGATCTTGGGATTCATGTCATAAGATGTTCTGAGAATCATTTGAATGTCGAAAGTGATGAAACTATCAAAGTCCTTGACGGCATCATCGAAACCAAACCTGGTGCCGACCTTTGGGGTTCATTACCATGTGGGCCTTGGACTCAGTGGCAGACGCTCAACGTGCATTTGTATGGTGATGACTTCGCCAGCAGATTGTCCGAGAGGCGTAAGGTGTCAAGAAGGTTGGTTAAACGGTTTTGTCGTTTGGCTCGCGCTGTAGCGCGAAAGGGAGGTCGAGTCACATTCGAATGGCCTCGACACTGTGTTGGTTGGGCATTGCAAGAACTCCAGAAACTTATTCGGGATCTCAACATGATGATTGTGGATTTTGATGGGTGCCAAGTTGGATTGACTGACTCAAAGGGTGATCTTCATTTGAAGAGGTGGAGGTTGATTACTACATGCAACCGTACTGCTAGGATCTTTTCAACGTTGAGATGCAATCATCCAGCTGATTTCCAACATGCCCCCATTTCAGGATCAAGAACACGCCTCACTGGTTTCTACCCCAAGGAGATGTGTGAGTATGTAATGCATGCGATGTATCCTGATATCATCTCACGACATGTCCCAGCCATGCCAGTCACACAAGTGATAGAGCAAACAGTTGAACACCGGGAGCGTGAGCCTGAAGAGGGACGAGATGGTGGTGTCTTCATTTACGATTCAGTCGACCCCCTTGCAGCAGCCGCAGCTGAGGGCCTGGATGAACCTGCCGATGATGAGGCTGAGGACAGGGAATCCAGGGATGATAGACTGAAGAGGGAGGCAACATCATTAGAACACATCACATTGCACGCCAAGAAGAATCCATTTTGCCCACATTGCCAAAGAGGTCGAATGATCAAACGATATGCTCATAGACATAGACCCGAACCTGAGGACGAAGAGGTTGTGTACAGTATTGCAAAGGAGTTTGGAAGCATCATTGAGGCTGACCACATTTTTCCAGCGGTTGAGTCTAGGGGGCTTGGTGGTGAACAGTCCGCCCTCTTAGTGCGAGACAGATACTCTGGAATGTGTTTGACATACCCTCAACGAACACGCAATGAAGATAGCAACTATGATGCGTTGAAACATTTTGGTGGCAACAAGTTGAACGGTAACCCAGATGTTGTATTCCACTCCGACACAGCCCAGGAATTGACCAATGCTGCATCAAGACTGGGATGGGTGGCTGATCCATCAGCCGCCAATCACTGGCCACACAATGCCTTTATTGAAAGAGAAATCAGGACCATCAAGGAGATGTGCAGGCCATCACACCTGCAGGCAGGTTTCCACAGAAGGCTCTGGACCATTTCCATCGAGTACACAGCCACTGCAAGATCCTTCTTCACTCTGGCTCCGATCACGGAGGATGAGAGAGACACAGAAGAGGGAAAGAAGAAACTTGGCAAGACGCGATGGGAAGTGGCCACAGGTAAACCTTTTGATGGCGTTTCTTATCCACTAGGCGCATTGGTTTTCTATCGTTCCAAAGGGGACGGCATGGCAGAGCCCACAACTCGTCCGGGGTTGTTTGCCGGTTGGCACCTATCCCCTGGGCTTCGGTATCGTGGCAATGTGAAGATTTTGGACTATGAGTCTGTCAGAGAGAGAGGACATTTGCACTGGCAGCCACGTGTGATGCATGAGAAGGAGGTCTATTTCCCTCCAACAGAATACATTGAATTTCCTCTTGCATTAGCTGCACAAAATGCCATGTTGCAAATGACGGATGAGGAGAAAGAAGTCAAGAAAGCCATCTATGATAGATCTTTCGTGGCAGGGGTTTTGCCATATGACGTGTGCATTGATTCTTTTCCTGTTGACGCACCTCCACCTCCTCCAAGACACGCTTACATAACATGGTCAAGGTTGATGAAACATGGCTTCACCAGGGGATGTCCAGGGTGCTCCATGGGACACAACAGACACTCACAAGAATGCAAAACAAGGTTTGACGCCATCTTCTCCAGACGTGGCGAATCAGTGGGACCAACTCCGAGACCAATACAGGATGGTGTTGAAACTGAATATGAACCATCCATAGCTCCAGATCAATTCCCTGAAGATGAAGTACCCATATGCCCACCGAGGTCTGATGATGAAGAAGAGCTGCAACCAGCAGCGGTCACCAGACAGCTCCCGAGGTCAGAGGTTCTCTCGCGTCCTGACGCGGTAGCCGCGATCAAGAAGGAGTTTGACGGTATTGGGGACATGGGCACATGGGATTTGGGATCGGTTGAGGAGGAAGAGACGGTGAAAAAGCGAGCCATAGAGAATGGCCAGACTATCCACCTAGCAGACCTACTAGCCATATGTAGTGAGAAGAACGTTGAGCTAGAACCAAAGTTCAGAACCCTCAAGGGTAGAGTATGCTACAGGGGTGACGCAGCGAAAACTGCAAAAGGAAATGTCGCGCTATATCAAACCATGAGCGCGTCCCCTGCTTCGATCACTGCGGCTAACGCCATCATAGCATACGGTCTGTTGAAAGGCCACAAGATTTCATCAGCAGACGCCATCAAGGCGTACCTTCAGAGCGTTTTGAACTCATTGGCCGAAACTTGGGTCAGGTTGCCCAGAGAAGTTTGGCCGGAAACTTGGTTTGACTCAAATGGAAAGCCTTTGTACCGGAGGCCAGTCATCAGGCTGCTTCGCAGCTTGTATGGGCATCCAGAAGCTGGAGCACATTGGGAAAGGAAGCTGGAGCAAGAGTTGGTAAACATGGGAGCCACGAAGATTCCAGAATTCCCAAGCACATATGTGTTTCCTTCCTACGGGCATTTGGCTTTGGTTGTTTATGTGGATGACTTCGTTTTGAGCGGGGACAGTTCATACCACGATTCCTTTTGGGCAGACCTTTCTAAAAGAATCATGTTGGATGACATCGGTGACCTAGGTAGGTTCTTGGGGAGACATCATTCAACAGTGGAGTTCAGAAATCAAGAACTATTCGCATTCGACATGCGAGCCTATGCTGAGAGCATTGTCAATGACTATGTTCGACTGATAGGTCACGCAAAACTGAAGAGAGTTAGCACACCATTTCTCTCAAAGACCACTGTGCTTGAGGAGGCTCCGACTAAGGGCGAACTTGCAGGTTCAGCCAGCTCGGTCCTTATGAAACTGATGTGGTTGGCGCGATTGTCGCGGCCTGATATGCTGAGAGTAACCACTTGGTTAGCTACTAAGGTGCAACAGTGGACCACGGAGTGTGACAACCATCTTTTCAGGGCGATTAGTTATTTGAATGAAACAAAAGACCACTTACTCACTGGCCATGTAGATGATGATTTGAATGACATCTATGTTGAGCTGTTCTGCGATGCAGACTTTTGTGGTGATGACGAGCACACATATTCCACAACTGGTGGGTGGGTACAGCTAAGTGGAAAGAGCACCAGTTTTCCACTGACCTGGATGTCCAAAAAGCAAGGTGCGGTCTCCAGATCGACAACTGAAGCTGAGGCTGCAGCGATGGCTACTACTTTATTTGATGAAGGTCTGCCGTTGCTAGAGCTGTTTTCAGTATTATTCAGAAAGTCAGTGCGCTTGTTAATCAGAGAAGATAACGAAGCCACAGCAAAGGTGGTTTCTGCTGGCTATTCCAAGCGTTTGCGACATATGAAGAGAACACATCGTATAAATTTAGGTAGCCTCAAAGAGGAACTGGACAAGGACGATGTGGACTTGCAACTAGTTGCCAGTCGCTACCAGAAAGCCGATATCTTCACTAAGGGATTGGCAGGTGAACTGTGGGGACCCGCGTTGGACCTTCTGGGAATAATCAATGGATATGTGGTCACTCGGACCACGAACACTGGTTTGAAGATCCAGGAGAAGTTTGATGAGTCTCTGCAGCCTTCCTATGCTGAGGACAAGTCAAAACCTGTGCCTACTCAGGATGCTCCGAAACCCAAGGCCAATGTGAGAAAGAAGTACAAGAAGAAGGCCCCACGCATTCTTCCATACCAGAAAGCTCCAGAAGACTAGGTCGGTGCCGAACGTACCACTGGCCGGAGTCAATCGAGAGGGGGGAATAGAAAATACTCGAATAACCCCTATGCCGTGTATGCATGTTCATACCACATAGTGGTCCCAAAACGGAGCCCACTATATTGTTGTTGCCTTTGACTGTAAAGTGTACATAATGTCAGGGTTTTTACAACGGGAATAGACTATTCAAATAGTTATCGACAATGATAACTCATTTCCTTAATCCTGTAATCCGGGGTTTTGGTCATCAAACCATTTACTTGGCCAACAACGTTTGGCTCAAGGTGCCCGCTAAAACAGGTGTTTGTGCTTAGCTTCACTGGCCATTGTTACATCTGTTGACTACTGCATCTTGAATACACGTCAATATTACTTCTGGTACAATCCCCGCATTCACTGGATTTACTGGAATTTTGTTATAGTGAGTTTTCCCATTAAAAGTGGTGATGTTCCATAGTTATGTAAACGTTTACCGGAGGGTATATGTTGTTTCCATTCAAACCTTCATTGATAGGTTTTTGTTCTCCTGGATTTTCCAAATTTATAATGACCGGAGAATACCCATATGGGAGGGTCCTGAAATGGGGGGTAGCCCTAAATCATCCATTTTAACAGGATTGTCCATCATAAAGTCATAAACTATCCAGCTATTGGGGTACCCCATTTCAGGAAGCCTCCATATTTGCTTGTTTCGCATGTTACCCTCTGGTAAACATTTACAGTTTGCTATTGAACATGAACCATTTATATAGATTGTTGATTTACCCATTGATAGTATGGTGATTTTCCACAGTTATGTAAACGTTTACCAGAGGGCAGCTACACTAGAGCCCCTCTGACATCCCACCGCCGTCAGAGGCATTTGTGGCGGAAACCGCAACTTCGCCACCGCCGTGGATGGCTTGGGACGCTTGCGGCTGGGCGTTAGAGTGTTGCGATGTGCTTGCGGTGCTGCCCCATAGTTAGCTAAGTTGGTTTACAACTATGGTCTAAATAGGCTTTATAGTGGATATATATATATATGTATTATATATATATATTAATATATTATATATATATATATTTGTTAGTGAAACCAGGTTCCATACAGGCAATCGACAAAGTCGTTCCTTTTTTAAAGAAATGTCTATATTTAGTTGCGTCGAAGCTTTCCCTGGAAGTCGTGCCTTTTTGCAAAACGCAAGCAAACTCTGGACATGGGCACCCACTGGCACACCACAAGATCTTTTGCCAGTGGCCCCACCCATTTCTGGCACTTTGCGGGCCGCATCCGCGGTGATTACCCTGCTAGTGAAAACAATGAAAGCCACACCGAGGGCGCCACGATGGGTGAAGGAGTACATGCGGTGGTATTCCTCATTGCATTGTGAATGGTTAAGGGATGCGCCAGCAAGCTCCGGAGAGTGGCCTGTTAGGGAGCCTGTGTGGGCCCAGGATCTGTGGCATACAGTGGAGTCTGTACCAGTCCGCTCACGGAAACGCATGGGTTGATTCGACTATGGGTTGGGTCCAGACCAATACTACACTCTGCACTCCGGCAATCACATGTGCGATCGGAAAATGACAGATATGTATATATCTAGTGTATAATTTGCATTGGTCATCATTGATCCCAAAATGGAGCAGTAAATGGAGCGTACGCAATCCCAAGCCATGATCATGCATCTCATTCCTGCCGTTCCTTTCTTATGTGTTCATTTCGAACAATACTACAGTTATGGTCTTTTTCCAGTTAAAAGTACTAAGTCACCCCATTTATGGAATGTATAATCCCATAGAAATAACCAGTTATAACTTATAACCATTGATAATTGGTTTCTACGGCCAAAACTGTAGGTCATGATGTCACACAACTCTTGTTTTAAGCCTTACATTGGATGCTGTCCCCAACTTCAGCTGTGATGGGCTGCCCAACAACTAACTATCCCCATGGATTCACTCCCTCAGAAGGTTCTTGGATTCGCAGGGCTGCGTATTCTACATGTTGCATACTTATATACATACATACATGTAGATATGTATGTTTGTATATATATAATATACATATATGCATAGACACATGCATATTTATATGTACATATGTATATATATAATTATATGTATATACAATGTGTGTGTAATATGATATTAACAAGTATTAACATATATGCTCATATACACTTAAGCATCATGTTTGACATGTCGATCTCTGAGGCATTGGAGCAACACTGAAGAGTATAAGGATTTGGAGGATGGAGACGCTTTGGCCTTGGATGGGCTGTTCTCGTGAACGGGGTAAAACTCTGGGGGACCCCAGAAGCATGGTTGTCTCAAGGCCGAAGATGTTGGACGATTTCGGGCTTTGAAGAAATAGCCAAGTAGAGACAGTAGAGATATAGGTGTATATAAATCTAATGGTTGATTATCATATTTAATATGACATTGCCCCATTTTCAAGCCTTCAACCTCGGTCCTATCGCCGAAGAATCCCAAAATTCTTACAACGTGGTGCCCCACAGTTGTGTTGTTTGTTGGACCCAATTGACTATTGACTATAGATATATCTACCATAGACTTGACAGCTAATCTACCAAAATTTTAAGCAAGTTAGTCGACTGGTGGCACCACATATTGTAAAAATTCTATCCCACTAACATCCAGTACAAGGTGGTGCCCCCAGTTATAAATTGGTTATAATCCCATTAACTATAGATATATCACTATATATATATATAGATATCACCTATAAACCATAGTGAAATTGGACTTTTAAAGGCACCAACTTAGCTATCGAACGGGTGCACCACCTTGAAAAAAACTCTAGCAATTATGCTTGGTGATCCACTGGATGAGAAAAAACAGTGGAATTGAGGCTTTATACACAATGATATAAAGTTAATTAAGTATATAGGTTTATACATAAAATTGGGTGGTAATGTATTCACTATGAATTAAGTATGTCAATACGTAGTAGCATAAACATCATAAAGCCTACTGAATCTAGTTGTCTAATGACCATTTTCAAGCAACGTAGCACCGGGCCAGCACGGGGCACCAACACCCAAGGAACATTTGCAGAACTACATTCATGAAGCCACTCATGCCCTCATCAGGCGGGGCGAAGTGGGGGATGATGGCTAGGAGGTTAGCCTTACATTCTTAGATAGTATTTGGATCCATAATATATGGCATATGGAAACATCTCAGAAATGACAGTTTAAGAGATGCATATGGAAGCATAATTAAGAAATGACACTTTGTTTGAGATGAAATCAGGATATATGCATATATATATGTGGAAAATCTGGACATTCATGATTTCATGCTATTTTTTCATGCTATTTTTTCATGATTATTGCCCATGATGTGCAAAGATTGCCACTTTGTTTCATCGTATCCAACGGTGAAAGCCCCGCGAAACGCTGGTGCCGTGCCTCGGTGGAACATGTGGAACTTACGCAGCAGTGGATGGTTGATATGAGCCATGGTCAATACTCACTATATGGTTGATGGTCATCCCATCCATAATAAGGATCCTTATAATGGTTAGTATAAATCCCTATGAACCATGGGATTTTTGTAGGGTTAATTCACTGAAATCACTGGGGTTACCCTCTGGTAATGACTAACATAGCTATTGAAAATGGCCATAGAAATAGTTGATTTTCCCATTAAAAATGGTGATTTTCCATAGCAAACTGTTAGTTTACCAGAGGGTAGAATCCCATCATTTGCCATAGTTACTATGGAAAGATCCACCTTTTTGAATGGGAAAATCCACGAAATCAATGGCATTTGCCAAATCTCACATTCATTACTGGGATACTAGCCAAAATATGATTGTATAGGGATACCTCTCTGGATAATCATTAGATATCATTAGGCTAATACCCTCTGGTAAACGTTTACAGAAAACAATGGAAAGATCCACCATTTTTACTGGGAAAATCCACTATTTCTATGGCCATTTTCAATAGCTATGTTTGTTTACCAGAGGGTACTAGCTGGGATACTAGTTGATATGGTTGGAAAGAATCCCATCCCTATGGTTGTTTCAATGTGATTCATAGCTGGCCATAGTGACTGGTCCTGGTCTTGGTGCAGGATTTCGCAACCATCCACAATATCCAAGCCGGATCATCAACTGCAGAATTTGATCAATTCTGTCCTAAAGATGATCAAAAATGGTACTGAGAAACTTCACCGCCAGCAATGTTATTCCGGTTCCTGGTTTTGCCAGCAATGATCAGATCTACAAGGTGGTTCCCCGGTAGCAGAGGCGGTCTACAAGTAGATTCATGATAGAGTTTATGGTAGAGGCACTAAACTAGTTCATTGGGTTATTATAAACCAAATTTACAACTGAGGGGCACCACCTTTTAGCTTTCCCAAGCAGCTAAAAACATCAAACAACACTAAGATTCATGGACATTCCACATATCACAGGGGTACTATTTATATTTATGGCTATTATCCACTTACCTAGCAGATATTCCGTTGGATTCCGCATCACCAGCCACTGGGGTCACCGGGGTCACCGTCCAGTGATGCGGAATCCAATGCCTATGCTCCGATGAGCATCTACGAGCCCTCCTTCCAACGCTTGCGGAATGCCCCTCGGAGCGAGCGGCGGGCAGGTCGCGGCGGTGTCTTACAGGCCATGGAAGGCCATGGCTGACGTTATAACTGTGGAAAATCACCATGCTATCAATGGGTAAATCCACTATTTCGACTGGGCCATTTTCAATAGCTTTTTGTATGTTTTCCAGAGGGTAGTACTTATAATAACTTGTATCGCGCCATAACTGTAGGGGCTTTGCTTTGTCCAAAGATGGTGTTTGATGACTGTTGATGACTGCTGATGATATTATGATATGATATGTTTTCTTTGGATATTTTGGATGGACTGCGGATGTTCAAAAATGGTATAAGTCAAAAGTATAGAACATACCAAACATGCAATGACCGCCAATCTATGGGAATCTTCGATATAGTGGCTTAATTTTATGGATGTAAGGGGATATATGTGATCAGCAGGATGATATAGGTCTACCTACCCCAAAATTGGAGAACACCATCTTACCAGTGGCATATATATATATATATATATATCAAGGGACTTGATGGTCCACCAAACCATGAACGTTCAACAAAAATGCTACTGTTCAGCAGTAAACGGCCATCCGAAATCCGGTCCAATCATAGTTTCTGTCTTGGGACTTAGGACAGTTTTGATCAGTTTTGGAATGATTCTTGGCTAAGCATCATGTATGATATAAAGAAGTGAGGTAGGCGGCGAAGGTCACTAGAGTTTACCAGATGGATATCTCTCAAAATGTGGTAATTACATGTAATTACTGTACTGCAAGTATCATAGTTACCCTCTGGTTATTTAACATAGACATAGCCATGGAAAATGGCCCATTTATAGATGATTGTCCCATTAAAACCTCCATTTATAAGGGATTTTCCATGGCTATGTTAAATAACCAGAGGGTAATTTCTAGTTGGATGAAAGCAATGGTTTGGTTGAAATCTCGCATTTTGGCGGTAACTGGGGTAGTTGTAATTAGCAAAATATCTCGTTGCCTTGGCCCCAAAGCTTGTCAAATTGACCGAAAAAACAGCAGATGGAAAGTGCCAAACGAGGTTTGATTGGGGAATCTGGGTATAAATTTCATCACGACCGAGCCCTGTTCTCCCTCACTATAATCATAGTAAGGGGAATCATCCCCTTTTATGGCCCAACAATTCAGGTTAAAGTGAGATATTATCATTTACCTAGATATTAGGAAAACCATAGGAAAATCGTGATTTAACCACTAAAAAGTGGTAATGTTTACTACAATCTCCACTAACGAAGACCCGGGTCATCACACACGAACCAAGAGGAGTTGAAGTTTGCGGCAAGTTGTTTTCTCCGAGGTGGTGCTCCCTATATAAGTTGCGAACTAGAACTTCGATGCGTTTATGGTAGATACAGTAGATACATCTACGTATAGTTACTATATAGTTCATAAATGTTCTGGTTGGTGGTTTGGAACATGTTTTCCACATATTGGGAATAATCATGTTTAAATGATAGTTACTATATAGTGTTTAAATGTTTATACCCTTTGGTAAACTAAGAGTTTGCTATTGAACATATCCATAGAAATCGTTCATTTACCCATTAATAGCATGGTGATTTTCCATAGTTTTCTGTGTATGTTTACCAGAGGGTAAATCACCATTTGTTATGGGAAAATCTAACATAACTAAGGAACATCACCATTTTTCATGGGAAAACAAAACATATCGGGTGCACCACCTTGTGATGTCTGCGGGGCCACGTCGCCACGTCCCTTGCGCTCAGGTCATCGGTGAAGAGACCATCGTCGAAGCCGGCGCGTCACGGCGCTGCGCCGATGCCGATGCGGACGAAGGCACGGTGGCCGGGGAAGTGCCCTCTGGGTGGGGCATGGGGACTTAGGCAACACAAGGTGGTGCTTCCCCAGTTACCCATGACGGATCCATGGTGCTGCTATATATGGTGCTCCATGGATCCCATCAATATACCCCAGTCATGTTAGCATATATACCAGCACCATGGATCCTATGGGTTATAAATTGCTTCTAATCCCATTAACATATATGGGTATGGATCAATACCTATTAATTAATACCATTTTTAGGGGGATGAACATCCATTTACCAGCTATTTTGGGGTTCACTAGGTACCAGGGTTTTGACCCATCCCCATATAGTATAAATGTGATTATAACCAATAGTATCATTGGACTTTTAAAGGCACCAACTGAACTCTATCGAACGGGGCCACCACCTCGTGGAAACTTACAGAAATTTATGGAAAAACATGGAAACATATGGAACAATGGCTTTTTCAAAAATGGAAAATACAATCTATAAATGGTTTTTAATGGAAAATGGCTATGGCAGAATGATGGAACAATGAGGTTTTCCGTTAATGGGAATAGCTGGATGGTTTAGATGGAATAATACCATCTATTATAAATGGATGATTCAAGGGTACCATCCAAATAAAGGTAAAAACTAGACGACGGATGGCCCGAGAGCGTAGAGGAGCAGGGTCTTCTCTTGTTAGTATGGAGACGCAATTTTAGAAATGGTATATGAAAGCTGTGTTATAGGCAGTCGAGAAGAGGAGTATCAAGACAAAATAGTGAGAAGTGCAAGACAATAGTTTGCATCGCAAACACTTTTACACACAGACGCTTTTACACAGACGCTTTTACACACAAAGCTTTTACCCACAGAAGCTTTTACACACAGAAGCTTTTACAGACAGAAGCTTTTACATACAGAAGCTTTTACATACAGAAGCTTTTACACACAGACGCTTTTACACAAACGCTTTTGACACACAGACGCTTTTACACACAGACGCTTTTACACACAGACCCTTTTACACACAGACGCCTTTACACACAGACACTTTTACACACAGACGCTTTTTACACACAGACACTTTTTACACACAGACGCTTTGACACACAAACACATTTACACACAGACGCTTTTACACACAGACGCTTTTTACACACAGACGCTTTTTACACACAGACGCTTTTACACACAGAAACTTTAACACACAGAGACGCTTTTACACACAGAAGCTTTTACACACAGACGCTTTTACACACAGACGCTTTTACACACAGACGAAAGGGTTGCTCCGGCACAGGAAAAATCGCAATTTTACCTCAGTTTCTACCGATCGACCCTCATTTCGTGCGAAAGGGTTGCTCCGGCACAAGTAAAATCGCAATTTTACCTCAGTTTTTGCCGATCGACCATCATTTCGTGCGAAAGGGTTGCTCCGGGACAAGTCAAATCGCAATTTTACCTCAGTTTTTGCCGATCGACCCTCATTTCGTGCGAAAGGGTTGCTCCGGGACAAGTCAAATCGCAATTTTACCTCAGTTTTTGCCGATCGACCCTCATTTCGTGCGAAAGGGTTGCTCCGGGACAAGTCAAATCGCAATTTTACCTCAGTTTTTGCCGATCGACCCTCATTTCGTGCGAAAGGGTTGCTCCGGGACAAGTCAAATCGCAATTTTACCTCAGTTTTTGCCGATCGACCCTCATTTCGTGCGAAAGGGTTGCTCCAGGACAAGTCAAATCGCAATTTTTCCTTCAGTTTTTGCCGATCGACCCTCATTTCGTGCGAAAGGGTTGACGTTTCGTGACTCGCCGCCGGCACCACCCTCGGCCTTAAGAGAGAAAGATAAAAAGAAGGCATGAGAGAGAAGGTGAGCAGGTGTGAAGATAAGAAGATGTGAAGATGAGCAGATGTGAACATGAGCAGATGTGAAGATGAGCAGATGTGAAGATGAGCAGATGTGAAGATGAGAAGATGGGAAGGTGTGAAGATGAGCAGATGTGAAGATGAGCAGATGTGAAGATGAGCAGGTGTGAAGATGAGAAGATGTGAAGATGAGCAGATGTGAAGATGAGCAGATGTGAAGATGAAAGATGTGAAGATGAGCAGATGTGAAGATGAGAAGATGTGAAGATGAGCAGATGTGAAGATGAGCAGATGTGAAGATGAGCAGATGTGAAGATGAGAAGATGTGAAGATAAGAAGATGTGAAGGTGAGCAGATGTGAAGATGAGCAGATGTGAAGATGAGCAGATGTGAAGATGAGCAGATGTGAAGATGAGAAGATGTGAAGATGGGAAGGTGTGAAGATGAGCAGATGTGAAGATGGGAAGGTGTGAAGATGAGCAGATGTGAAGATGAGAGGATATGAAGATGAGAGGATGTGAAGATGAGCAGATGTGAAGATGAGATGAGAAGATGTTTTACAGACCCCCACTATTGGAAGAACCCTGCGCTCAGACGCTCTCGGGAAAAATGGTGCTTGAAAATGAACAAATTGTTTTTTCATGGATGTGGTCTTAACCAAAATACAATGCAGATTTTATCAAGATATATGACAAATATTGCAAATTTAAGCAACATGAATCACGTATTTGAGATATTTGGATAAGAACCCATAGTCTGGGTAACATAGAACCAAAGAGATTTAGCTTCCGGATTTGAGCAGCACTAGGACAATAATGGAGGTTAACACATGACATACTCCAATTCTGGGTAAAGAGTACAGTAATCCCATATACTGCTATGTACAAATCTATCCAATCTCGGCTTCGGACATATCTAAAATGATAGAAAAAACATGTCCAGAGCTAGGATGGATATTTGAGAAAACAACAGCACAAAGGTGAATAATCTTCCAGTTTGGGTAAGATACATTTGGATAAAAAAACATGGTTGAGCTATAGCAACATATTTGTCATGAATGATGCCAGGAAGTGATCAACCGTTTATTGGGGGACATGGCTGGTTGAAACCATGTCCTTAAGCTGTGCCAGGACCTGATGTCGAACTCGCAGACCTTTTAAGACATAAATTTGGGATGTAACGTACACTACTGCAGTACTACTTCAATGAGGGTTTTCTGAAAGCAGTCCGGCTTCCTTCGCTGGGGATAACCCAATGGTGTAGGAGATCGTTTTTTTTGTTGGCTTCACGACATTGATCATAACCCAATCATTCACTAGTTTCCGCAAGGTGGCCCGGGCCACCAAGTTGTAAGTTGATGTAAGTTGCTTTATGTGACATGATGAATCTTTCACTGGTTGGTGGTTTGGCACATTTTTCACCATTTTTCCATCATATTGGGAATTTTTAATCATCCCAACTGTTACTCACTTCATCATTTTTCAGAAGGCGTGGCTCAACCACCATCCAGATTTATAAACCATATTAAACCATCGTTGTCCTTTTCGATGGAGGGCCGATTTCTGATTCTTGACATTTTCTTCGCGTCCGTGAGACTCTGCGATGATGTTCTTGCTCAGCCATGTGGGGTTTCACCTGCTGAACACGCACCAAACCAAAGCATAGTAAAGCTAGTTATGAACCAACTCTGGTTGGTGGTTTGGAACATGTTTTATATTTTCCAGAATACATGGGATAATTCTTCCCATTGACTAATATTTATCAGAGGGGTTCAAACCACCAGCCAGTTATAGACTTATACTTATACTCAAAGAATCTTATAGATATCTTGGATGCTCCTTAAATTTGCGGGACCATCTCAATAAGAAAAGGGGCTCCACTGCGCCGAGGCAAAGACTATTGGTCACTTAGCGGCAGGGAGCTAGTGTTCGATTGTTTTGTCACGACATGTTATTCCATAATATGGATTCAAATACTGTACCTCCTGAAAAGCTGTGTGCACAACCCCCACAATGATGCACCAAACACATCCTCGGAACGTGCTCTGATATACGTACGACGAAGGTTTTTTCTTTCTGTCAATGATCACTTCATGCACGTGTACATGACTAACAGAAGCTATTTAAGCCGATGTTTCAGAGAGATCAGTTTTTTTGCACGCGTAATTCAAAAAAAAACAGCTTCTCTGACCGAACCAAGCGGCTTTGACAACTCTATCGACCGCAGTTTGCCAAATGTGTTTGCTACCCTCTGGTTATTTAACATAGCCATGGGAAATGGCCCATTTATAGATGGTTTACCTTTAAAAAATGGTGATTTTCCATGGCTATGTTAAATATCCAGATGGTACATGGTTTTCTCTCAAAGTTGAGGTTCCCCCAAAATGGTCCATGGTTTTTGTGAATTTATGATGAACCATGGTATTTGTGGTGCCAGGTTTACCGGTTTACCTAAAAATAAAAATACGGGTTGATAAAAATCAACGCTTTGTGATTTTTGGATATTTTTGGCACTTGGATAACACACAACGGTGCCTCATCCTTAGCCAAGCTGGTTTCAAGCTAGCTTTACAGTTGAGTTTATGGACAAATCATGGCAAATCTATAGTCAGGCCGGTAATGGTTGATGATGGGTGAACATCAATCAACTAATTTTATCCACAAACATAGAGGTGTTTTTTAACAGGTGGAGTTCATATCCCAGGTCATTGGTTGAAGGAAACAAAAACAAAGGAACTCCCCATTTCTTTTGGTCAAAAACATGATTCCCTGTAGATTGTTTCGCTTAAACCAATCCATTTCTCCCACAAAATTCACCATTTTTTTCACCGTTTGGCAGGGTTCAAGTCGGCAAAACCTAGGTCCAACATGGGTCGTGGCATCCTGCGAATGGCCACGGAAAATGACCACATCGACAGTGGCATGGCATGGAGAGCCTCACAGGAACCTCAAATGACTCAAATGCTTCAAATCCAACTATTAATGACATGATGAAACGAGAAAAAATGGATTTTGGATATGATTCATCAGTGAACTTATATTTTTTCTTTTTATTAGATGTGTCCCATCTTTTAGCCAAATTGAATTAATTATCTGGTTGGTGGTTTCAAACATTTTTTATGTGTCAAGGTGGGGTTGAAACCACCAACCAGTACTAAACATTGGATGGGACATGAGTAAGCCAAGAAAAACGGGCAAACTGGGATTAACCAACTGGATCGGCACTTTCTCTGCACTCTATTGATGATCAATGGGGATATGATACTATATCCTGGGTTTGTTTAGTCGGTGATTGTTTCTTTTCCCAATGGAAAATCCACCATGAACGGGGAATCTATAGTGAATATTGTTTATTTTTCGGGGACCCTGAATCAGCAAATCCAAGGTATGGTTTTCCCAAAGGTTTAAAAAAAGCAGGGTATCTAAGAATTTGCCATTTTACTTAATCATCAATTTATACGTTGAAGAACAGGTGAATTTGGACCAGTTCCAAACCACTGCGAGTCCCAGATGTGGAGCTGCTTTCAGAAAACATCAGAATACAAATGGGTGCATGGCAGCCTATACTCTTTGAAACACGCACAAGCCTACCAAGCCGGTCTGATGTTTAATTCTGTCAGACATCCCATGCACTTCCATTCCATTCTATCCACCCAAATATATTGAATACATGTTAATTGGTATACGGAGGCCAAATGCAGCCGCATTTTTTGCGCGTAAACCCTCAAACGTTGGTGGTTGAAACTCCACATGCCAAGCATCCCGCCTTTGTTAAACCTCTGAGGCTGTGCAGATGTGGCGCCGTACTGTGCTCCTGCAGGGAAAAGGGTTTGGAAGCAACAATTTCTGATGGGATTCTGGTTGATTACGGCTAGTTATGCTTACAGTAATTAATTTGGATGAATTATAGTTGATGGTTCGTTGATTATTGGCACGGATCGTGTTCCAACGCTCGAATCTAGCCACCAACAATGGGATATGATATAGGTTTATGTTGGTAGATCAGCAACATGGCCTTCATTGTTGTACCGCTTGGTGGCCTTTCAAGATGTTCTACGTTTTGTTTTTTGTTGGAATGATCGGAATGATGGACCCAAACTATTCCATCTTTGATGATCCGACACCCGTTGGAGAAGATGGTGCCTGGGGCGAGATTCGTTTGGATACAAACATGTCCGGGTAATGTTAGAGGTTAAATTATCCCGTTTTGATCTCCAGCTTCATGAGTTTTGTAACATTTCATGAAACTTTAGTTCAGTATAAATCAATCATTGGATCGTTGAACGTTTCAACGCAATCTGGTAGCTTGGGATTTCGACGGAATTTCAAGGACCATGCGGCGACCGACCCTGGAGGGTTTCTTGTATCGCACCTTTTGTACTCCCACCCCCTGATCATTGAATAACCTACAATGTGAGGCCCCCAAGATAGCATTCAGTTGGTTTATAACTCCAATAACTATATGGTTTATGGTATTTATAACTATAGTTACTGGGGCTTTTGTTAACCAACAAACATCACTGGGGGGCCTCACATTGTAAGAAAAGACCTGATTTAGTACTGGAATTCGTGTCGGAGGCCCATATGATGTAGAAACCCCATGTTTGAGTCATGTTTGTACCTGAGATATGGGATGAGGTTTACCCGGCCTGGTAAACGTTAACAAAAAACTGATGGGAAAGTCACCATGTTTCATGGCAAAACTCACTATAAATGGTCATGTTCAATAGCTTTTTGTCTGTTTACCAGACGGTACATACTATGTTTCTCGTTTGCTTCATAGAGATATATGCCGATGACAACATGGATGATTTGGGCGAACAAATGTAAGCTGGCTTGCCATCATCCAAAACATTATACATTACAAATATACATATCATATATATATATATGTATATACATTTACCACAAGCCCAACACTATTAGGCGAATTTCCGCTCTTCGATGTTTCTTTTCGTTGTATAAGAAAGATATTATAATATATATATATTTATTATTGTTCATACGTGCGTATTTTATGTATACAATTTCAAAAATATCACGTGTAATTCCAAGAAGCATCACCATATTTTATAAGCAATGTATGAAGAATCAATAATTATTAATTATCATATATTCCAAGATGTATAATGTATAATAAATTCATTTATATTCCAAGATTTATAAAATCTCTCAACATATTTACAATCTATTTCACAATGTTTCACTACTGCTCATCATTTTTTCAGCATGCTTCACAATTTGATATTTTACAATTAAAATACATAATGTTTCACAATTTTATGTTTTACAGCTAAAATACAATGTGTTCACCATGTTATATTTTACAATTAAGATACAATGTTTATACATACATACATGCATGCATACATACATACATACATACATACATACATTATACATACATATATATATAAACAGCATGTTTCACTATGTTTATAGCATTTTTCCACCATGTTTCACCATCAATGTGCCATTTCCCACCATTGAAATAGCATTTGTTCCACCATTTTTCACCACACCCGAGGTACCATCGTTGGACTCCGTGGGCTTCGGGCGCGGCAGTGGTGCCCCAGCACCTGCGGCTGCGGTCAGCCCTTCTCTGGGCTCCTGCTGGACAAGGCCTGGCTGAGCAATATTAGTGTGAATGTAGTGTGTATACATATATACATACATATATATATACATATATATATATGGTGTGTCTTCATATATATATATAGTTTATATATATATATATAAACTATATATATATATATTATATATGTTCCCAGCGCAATGGTGATATTTGACGAAGATATTGAAAGGTGTAATAGTGGAAGAACTCCACTATCACGATGTGTTGCTTAATGGTGACATAGTTGCTGATACTCAATAAAGATAGTTAAATGTCACCTACATGGATTTGGTTTTTGATGTTTCATGGTGATATCAGTGATATGGTTGGTGATATGGATTATGGCATGAACGGCCAACATCAAACATGTTTTAATGACTGTGGTTTAATGTTAATGGATTAATGTCAATGGTGAATGGATGTGTTTTAATGAGTTTTTTGTGTACCAAACATCCTGTTTGCCAAACATCGATAAAATGGATATATCACCACGCATCATATACATCTAGATCAACACCTCGATACATGGAGATCTCGATGCATATACCATCTATGTTTTTTTCGCCCACCTGTCAGGCGAGGGTTGTTAGATTTTACGCCTCCTCCTCCTCCTTATCCTTCTCCTCCTCCGCCGGACCTAAGCTGCAAGCTCTAGATCGCAGTGTTTCCCGCCGGACCTCAAGCACAAAGGATCTCCGAAGATATACCAGATAGAATGCCAGAAAGAATGCCATGGTATATGCCAGATACATATGCCAGAAAGAATGTCACAAGATATGGCATATATCAGTCTTGCAATGGGATTTGTAGCTGAGAGTTTGTGCTAGAATACGGGATGCTTTGAAATGCCATGGTGTGGATCACTCGCAGTAAACAAAAGTTGTTTTTCTTTTAGTGGTGATTTCAGGGATGTAGATGGAGTGTGATATCAGCAGCTTTCTTTTCAATGGTGATATGGTTGATGATATTGATTGGAAACAACAATATGGATATGTTTTGTTTGGCCAAGACTTGAATAGAATGGTTACAAGTATGAACTGATTAAGGTGGGATAAATATATACATATATATATATATGATCTATGTCATATATTTGGTGCAATTGGTTTTGGTAGCCTGTTAAGATTTGACATGTACATAATGTGTATATATATATTTATTATATATATATATATGTTATAACATAGAACATGTTATTAGTTTTATTATTATGCTTGTTATATTATATATATTTAGAATTTGTTTAACATATATATATATAAATATATCACATGTATATAGTTATTTCATGTTTCAAATATATATATATATATATAATATATGTATATATATCATATTATCTTTAGAAAGATTGAGGGGGTTCATGTAGTTTAAAGAGGATTGATGTAGCAGGACTTTCTATTTAACCTCCTCTAGAGGTCACTTAGACCCATTCAAAAGTGAAGATGCGACTTATGGCCTATGGCGTACATCTTTTCTTCTTTGTTAAGCGACCTGTTTGCTAGTCTGGGCTGCCCCAGTGGGGCGTAAGATTCCGCACTTGTTTATCCGCTATTGATGTTGTTGTCAATTGCCCTTCTTACCAATATTATTTGGCTTTCTTGAATGTTTTGATTGGAAGGAATGCAAGGCGTGTGTCTAATTTGAAGTTGTATGTAGTGGGTTGGCTGTATGTGATTACAGGGTGGCAGGAACAGTTCTTCACTAGAAATGGTCTTGGACCCAACAACAACGGACAACTCCCAGGAGCGCCAGCCATTGTCCTCAACGTCTGTACTCGATCGGCCGTGCCAGGAGCAGGGAGTCTCTGGCTCGAGCAAAACGCCCCTTTAGTAGCAAGAGGCGACGCGTACTTTTTCACCGGGGTCAATATGACCGAGAGTGAGGTGCGCGCGATCGGCTTGCTCTTCCAGCCTTATCCCCAAGCCTTTCCTCAGTGGCTGGATCCGAATGGGAACGCCTATGTCTTGCCGAGCTCTATGCTCAGGATTGGTGGGTCCTACCTCGTGGGGACCTTCTTCCCTCAGGCTCCTGCCGGTATCATTGTGGCCGGTGGATGGGCACAAGTAGCAAATGGACCAGACCCAGGAGTGACCTTTCCCAGGGCCAGGGGGCGAGAACTAGGTCTCCAGGAGATGTTTGCTCTTGCCAAGCCATGGGTCACAAGCCAGCTGCCTCCAAAGTCAGGTTGGCCGAGAGATCAAACAGCGAAAAATTGGTCGCATGTATGAAGCTGAACAAGGACGAGAGTATCCGCGCCTGCATTGAACTGCGGGATGATCATTGATGTTGTGATGTCAACGATCGAGAAAGTTCCGGTTGACGAACCCTGAGGTGAGATCACGGTTGTGTCAGCCGGTCAGCTTGGAACTCACGAAGACAAAAATTGTTTAGTATGGCTGCTTGGGGCCCGCATCCCTGTAAACGTAAGACGTCCTACTGAGTCAGTGATCATAACTGAGTTTAAGAACTGTGGTGTTGCCCACCAATCTATCCGGATGTCATATGGTTATTGTAGTTATCACCCGTTTGTTTCACAAAGTGGGTTGCACATTCAAGGGTGGAAGGGACAAGGAGATGGTAAAGGACGACACCAACAAAAAAAATGGGTTTTGGGTATGTGGATTTACTCTTCTCATGTTGTTTTTTTCTGGGGAGATGTTTTTCCGGGTTTCTAGACATGTTATGACATGTTTACCCTCTGCCTCTGGTAAACTAACATAACTATGGAAAATCACCATTTTTCATGGGACAATTCACTATAAATGGGCCATTTTCAATAGCAAACTGTTAAATTACCAGAGGGTAAAGTGAGTGACTTCACCATTTGAGATTTCCACTGGGGATAGTTCATCAGACTGATGGCATCTCGCCAGCCACTGAGAGAGAAAACAAGCACGTAGCCTTTGGTGATCAAAGGTGGCAATGAAAACTCCCCAAAAAATGGCTGGTCGATGGTTTGGAACATGAATTTTATGACTTTCCATATATCGGGAATGTCATCATCCCAACTGACGAACTCCATCATTTTTCAGAGGGCTAGGGAAAGCACCAACCAGATGGTTTTTCCAGCTAGCTACGTTTGATGACACCGGAGAAGAGCAGTAAACAGTAAACCTAATAAACAGGCTTGAAGAATTTGATGACTTGTCAGATTTAAGTATAATCGCCGTTTAGTTGGGATTTGCCAGCAATGGCCATACTTGATAACGCCTTAGGGTAAGAGACATCAAGGACCACACCAGGACGAAATTGTTTAAGGATCATATTGCCAAACAATGCCAAACAAACATGGCGATGTTTAATGATATTCACGGGGAAAATGATGATCATTCATCAAATCAATTGGAGTACCCTACCTTCAGGCAAACCCACATATCCATCAGGGGATCAAACCACGAAGTCATGCACTGCAGGGTAGCTTTGAAAAACACATGTGGATTATTTAATTATACTACACCTGATTGGTGGTTTGGAACATTATTTATTTTTTCCATATATTGGGAAGAATAATCCCAACTGACTTTCATATTTTTCAGAGGGGTTGAAACCACCACCCAGTTAATGATATTCACAGGGAAAATGATGATCATTCCTCTAAAAAAATGTGGCACCCTACCTTCAAGCAAACCCACATATCCATCAGGGGATCCAACCACTAAGTCATTCAGGGTAGCTTTGAAAAAACATGTGGATTAAGTATACTACACCCTTCACCAAGTGTGGATTTCAGTTTTAGGTGAGTCAATAACCATTTGGGTTTGTCTTGAAAAGGGTATTGTACCCCCAAATCCCAGAGTAAGACATTATTTTCTATATGAAATTGTTTTTTGGGGGAGTTCAGACACGTTCAAATTATCAAGTCTTTGTTTATATATATATATATGTATTATTTTCATTACATCCGCATTTTGGGACGAGATTTTCTTACAGACTCAACTATCATATCAAGTTGGTCATCGAGTGAGATCAGCCTTGGCAAGTTGCAAGTGTACAACGAAGCGAGCGCAGAGAGCCACGGCTTCCTGTTGCGGTTCTTCATGGGGGGTCAGGGGTCAGTTAGCGGCGAGGGAGATTCGACTCTTTCATACATCGTGTTCAAAACATCATAATTACTATAGATAATAGACGATAATGTATTAAATCACTCAAATCTTTCCCCAGAATATTACCGCTTACCCTCTGGTAAACTAACATAGCTATGGAAAATCACAATTTTTAATGGGAAAACTCACTATAAATGGCCATTTTCAATAGCAATGTTAGTTTACCAGAGGGTACAAACCCTGGTTTTCCCTCATATTATATCCCTAATCCCTTGGCTCCAGGTGCAGAACGGTTGTCCCTCGGAGTGTGTGCAGAAACGTCGCGGCGAAGCGGACCGGAGCGCCACGAAATGTCAGGACGTGGGACTTTGTCGAACTTGGGGGGCGCATCCCAAGTGGTCAGTGGTTAATATCCCACATATGGGTGACACAATGGTTGTTAAGCCATTGCAAACTGGGCTGCAAATCGAAGAAGGGCTCTGGCTTGTCTTAAAATGCTGATAACAAAGGTGAATGCTGGGGATAATATGATGCAATGGATTAGGTTTGATTGATATGTAATAGTGATAAATGGGTATAATATGATGCAATGGATTCGGTTTGTCTTAAAGTGGGAGGTGCTGGTGAATATTGGAGATATAATGGTGACTGGTGGGGATAGTATGAAACTCATGGACTTTGTTTGTCGTGAAATGTGTTTTAGATGGGTGATATAATGTGATATATATATATATAATATACATTTAATTTAACCAACACATATGGAAAAATAATGAGTTGATGGGATACGAAGGGATATGTAAGCAAGAATACGATACTTTGGGTTTGTCAAAACATAAGGATAACATGATGACATATGGTATGTGGGGATATCCCAAATTGGCACTGTAACGAAGACAATGATGAGACATGGGGATACCCAATGTTGAAACAGAGCTAGGACTACCAAAGAACCACAATCCAAACGCTTTGCTGGTAAAGCCAAACACATGATGTATCAAAAAACGAGCCTTTTTATGGCAGATCACTGGGGAAATTATGGGTGTTTATATATATATACATATATATATATATATCCTTATGGATCCAAGTATCTTCTTAGGAAGTGTGTGGGGTATGATTTGGAGGGTTAAGTACCTTCTTAGACAGTGTTTGGATGCATAGTGTATATATACATATACATACATGGGGATTAACTAACCATGATATCCAAAACCACTTGTTATCCAAGTGAAACAGAATCCATCTTTGTCCAAATCTTGGACCCCAGCAGTGGTGGCTTGTTGAAACTAAGTTGACCCTACGTAGAGTTGACCCTAGTTGTGGCGGTTGTAACCCCAATTTTAAATAATATACATATATATATATTTACATATTCATATTTATATTTATACATATATATATATACAAATGTACATATGTATAATTTTACACATGTATACATATGTACTTAGATAAATGATAGATGGGTAATAAAGCCATTTAGCGAACTAGTTTACAAACTCCACAGCCCATTTGAGTAGGATCCCATCGTCGCAGATAGATTTTTACTAAATAAACTCTTTGAGTATCTTCCCACCAATCGTGACTGGTTTGTAAATCATTAGTCATGCTTAGTTTACCCATCTGGGAGTGTCTGAAATAGGCTACCTCAAATTTGATGGGTAAACTAAGCACACCATCGTTCAATGTGGGATGGCAACGGTATGCTGGTTGGTGGTTTCAAACATTTTTTAATTTTCCATAATATATGGGATGTCATCCTTCCCATTGACTTTCATATTTTTTCAAGATGGTTAAAACCACCAACCAGAATATGTCTAGATGGGTTACCCTCTGGTAAACATACAAAAAACTATGGAAAATCACCATGTTTAATGGCTAAATCCACTATTTCGACTGGGCCATGTTCAATAGCTATCTTGACATAACCAGAGAGTACCCATCATAATCATCCCCATCGATTTGCCGTAAAAAAGGTGACCCGTCGTTGCTTTTTTTTTTCTGGTGACTTACTCGGGAACTCAGCAGTTCCACTAAGAGTCGTGGCGTGTATAACTGTATAACTGTATAACTTATATATATATACGTATACAATGTGAGGCCCCCAAGATAGCTAAGTTGGTTTATAACTCCAATAACTATGGTTTATGGTATTTATAACTATAGTTACTGGGGCTTATAAACCAACTTATAACTGGGGGGCCTCACATTGTAACTGTATACCTGTATCTGGTTGGTGGTTTGGAACATGTTTTATTTTCCCCAATAGTTGGGATGATGATCCAATCTGACTAATCTTGTTCAGGGTTGAAACCATCAATTAGGTATAAGTTCCATGAAATAACTGTATATATAACTTATATATATATAACCATACAAATTGAGGCTGACATCCCAACTTTTAGGGCATCAATATAGCATCATTTTAGCCACTTATAACAACAACTGCATCCTCAAGTAGGTTCTATACATTACCCTCTGGTAAAATAACAGTTTGCTATTGAAAATGGCCCAGTCGAAATAGTGGATTTTCCCATTTAAAATATGGTGGATCTTTCCATAGTTTTCTGTTAACGTTTACCAGAGGGTAAACATGTCATAACATGTCTAGAAACCCAGAAAAACATCTCCCATTGAAAATATTGTGATTTTCCATAGGTTTTTGTAAACGCTTACCAGAGGGTACATGGTTAGCGCTGCTGGTTTTTTCGAACATGGCGGGCTGCTGGAAACTCCCAAAAAATTGATCTCAACAAAAATGCCAATTATATTCATATAGACCTTGAACAAATCACATTTAAATCCCATGATATTCCATATAATTTGTAATTATTCATATATAAATATATAAGTATACAATATTTAATTATATCCAATAATATTCTCATGATATTCTCATTTCCCAATACATTGATGCAATTCTGATGAATCGCCTGGTAGGACCAGCTGTTGAACCTCACAGCGATCTACGCCAAAGGCGCACAGGTGCTGTGGCGCCGTGGCGGGGCCGTCACCTTGCGTGTATCTATATGTAGTAACTATATGTAGTAAGTAGCTATGTCTATAACTATATATACCCACCATATCCGATAAATCTATATAAATCTGATATATCCTTGGCTATGGTTAAAATCCATTATATCTATCATGATGATAGGAATATACTATACTACATGACTAGATGTTATATGTGATACACGATGATCATAGTGATAGGACATGTACATTATACTACTATAGGTTGGGATATGTTGGGATAAAATCCCTAAAAGTAAAGGCCATATATGGGGGGTTCTTAATTCATCGGGAATCCCCGAGTCACCATGGTTGGTTCAAGACTAAACTGGTCGAATGAGAGGATGATTTGGGAGTACCCGCATGGATTGGAAAACTCTATATGTAGTACCCTCTGGTAATTTGTTACATAGCTATTGAAAATGGCCCAGTCGAAATAGTGGATTTTCCCATTAAACATACGGTGATTTTCCATAGCAAACTGTTAGTTTGCCAGAGGGTAGCCAGTATTTCTGATGGATATATCTACAAATTGTCCTTTTTGATTGTTAAATCGCCACGTTTGTTGGTGAAATCACCGTTTTTCTTTGTGAACCTGACATTTTTTGCTGAAAAATCACCGTTCCATTTTTTGCTATAATATAATATAACATAATATAATATAATATAATACAATAATACAATTTAATATAATACAATATAATATAATATAATATAATACAATATAATATAATACAATATAATATAATACAATATAATATAATATAATATAATATAATGGGATATATGATAATTATAGTTTTGCTTTCCTATCATATATATGGTCGGCCGTGGCCAGGCGCTCTTCACGCAGCGTGGCTACATCTCGGAGTCGCTGACGGCCCTGGCGCAGCGCATGGAGACGGAGGGCTGCGATGCGGTGGCGCATGGAGATGTGGCAGGCGGCGCGGGCTCCACTTGGGTGAAAATAACCAGTTAGATGAACGGAATATCTTGATTAATATATGGGATTTTATGGATTTTATGGATTTTATATGGGATTGTATGTTGATATCTGGTAGACTAACCATCAATACTATTTAATATAGCTACTGGAAATGGCCATAGAAATAGTGGATTTACCCATTAATAGCATGGTGATTTTCCATAGCAAACTGTTAGTTTACCAGAGGGTACCCTCTGGTAAACGTAGAAAAAACTAAGGAAAATCACCATGCTATTAATGGGTAAATCCACTCTTTCGACTGGGCAGTTTACCAGAGGGTTAGATGAACGGAATATCCTGATTGACCTATGGGATTTTATGGATGATATGGATGATATGAATGATATGATGATTGATATATGGGATCATATGGGATTTTCTGGGGCTTATATGATGGGTAACTATGGAGATTCATGGGGTTTCAGAAGGGATTTATAGCTGATTTATAGTGATATATGGGATGATATGGGATTATATGGATGATATGAATGATATGGATGATATGCTGGGGAACTATGGAGAAATATGGAGAAATGGGATTTTATTGGTGCTTCATCCCACGGATCCTTTGGGTAGGTTATATCCCTGGTGATTTCAGAGGGACAAGTAGGGTTAATCCACTGACAAAACCAGGGTTATAGGTGAAACAAGTTCGATAAATGGAATATCCCCATTGATACATGGAAAAGGCTTATATGATGGGTAACTATGGAGAAATGGTGTTTCATGGGATTTAAAGCTGATTTATGATGATTTATAGTGATATCAGTTTCATTCAGTGGTGATATCATGGAATTTTTTGATGGGAAACATGGGATCATCATGGGATTTTAAAGCAACGCCATAAGCCACCCATATAAATTGGTGGTTTATACAAGAACCCATAACAAATCTAAATTTGGAGATATTAACTTTCGTGAGATCAGTTTTTCCCCACCTGCCAGGTGAGGGTTGTTAGATTTTATCAGAGTTGTTCTTCTCCTCCTCGGCTAGCTGTCCTCCTTCTCCTCCTTCTCCTCCTCCTCCTCCGCCTCCTCCTCTAGTTTCTCCTCGACCATGTCTGCATCAACTTCCACCTCCACTTCCGCCTTGCCAACTCTTCGCCAAGCTCTTTGCTAACTCTCTTCGCCAAGCTCTTTGCCAACTTCCCAGCTCAGTGTGCACCGCTAGACCTCAACCTGGGACCTCCCCAGCTCAGTGTGCACCGCTGGACCTCAACCTGGGACCTTCCCAGCTCAATGTGCACCGCTAGACCTCAACCTGGGACCTCCCCAGCTCAGTGTGCACCGCTGGACCTCAACCAAGGACCGTCTCAGCTCAGTATGCACCGCTGGACCTCAACCTGGGACCTGCCCAGCCCAGTGTGCACCGCTGGACCTCAACCTGGGATCTGCCCAGCTCAGTGTGCACCGCTGGACCTCAACCTGGGACCTGCCCAGCTCAGTGTGCACCGCTGGACCTCAACGGCCAGATAGAATGCCAGAAGATATTCCAGATAGAAAGCTATAAGATATGCCAGGTAGAATGCCAGAAGATATGCCAGATAGAATGCCAGAAGGTATGGCAGATAGAATGCCAGATAAAATGTCAGATAGAATGCCAGAAGATATGCCAGATAAAGTGCCAGAATGCTTGCCAGATAGAATGCCAGAAGATTTGCCAGATAATATGCCAGAAGATATGCCAGATAGAATGCCAGATAGAATGCCGGAAGGTATGCCAGAACATATGCCAGAAGATATGCCAGGTAGAATGCCAGAAGGTATGCCAGATAGAATGCCAGATAGAATGCCAGAACATATGCCAGAAGATATGCCAGGTAGAATGCCAGAAGATATGCCAGATAAAGTGCCAGAATGTTTGCCAGATAGAATGCCATAAGATTTGCCAGAAGATATGCCAGATAGAATGCCAGAAGATATGCCAGATAGAATGCCAGAAGGCATGCCAGATAGAATGCCAGATAAAATGTCAGATAGAATGCCAGAAGATTTGCCAGTGACAAAATTAGAAATGTCATGGTGGGGATCACACGAAGTAAAGTAATTTTGGTGACCTCGCAAGATTTGAAAATTTAGCGCCTTTGGAGAAGCTGGAGGCTGTGGCAGGGCAAAACTTGGAGCAAACAAAGAAATCTGAAAAATGATCCCTTTGACCACAGATGTCCCGAGACAACTTTTAAGGCCCAAAAGGATTTATTAGAGAATTTAAGCAAAACTCAGAGTTCAAATAACAACAGTTGTATCTTGACCTTTTCTCGGGCCCAAAAGGTAACACCGGAGAAAACACGAAAAACACCGAAAAACATTTTTGACAATAAAAAATGTCTTTGCGCAACTGTAGGCTCAAAAACATGTCATTGTGATTATAAACCAACAGTACAATGTGAGGCTCCCAAGATAGCTAAGTTGGTTCATAACTCCAATAACTATGGTTTATGGTTTTTATAACTATAGTTACTGGGGCTTTTGTTAACCAACTTAGCTATTTTGGGGGCCTCACCAACAGTAGGCATTTATATCGGGATATAATTGGGATATGATGAGATATGATGGGATGGATGCATGGTGTTGTAAAAATGGCCCATCAATGGGGCTTTACACAGCAAACATATTGAGGTATAGTTGGCCATCAAACATTGGGATGTAACCAACAACTACAATTGGGATATAGGGGTAAAATCCATCTTTGATGGCCAACATATTGGGGTACTGGATTTAAGTTTTAAATGAAACATTGGGATTTTACCAACAACTACAGGTAAGCGAATGAGATAGGGGACTTCCTTCAACCGCAGAATTTCAGACAATCCAGTAGGGTAAGTAGGCGCAATGTTATAGCTGAGGTGAACTAGCCTACTCACTTCCTGGGGTGAACCACCATATATGAGCCATGGTTAAATTACATTTGTTTTTACTTGATGGTTTCAGTAGTGTACGTTGTTCTCCCTGTGGGATAATGATCCAACATGACTACTTACTTAATACTGTACATTTCGAGGTTTCCTAAAATAGGGGTACCCCCAAATCATGCATTTTAATTGGATTGTCCATTATAAGCCATCCATTTTTGGGTACCCCCCATTTATAGAAACCTCCATTTCAAATGGTTCTGGAACCAATGACCATATGTTTTTCTCTGGTTTTTCATTGCAACTGACAAATTTGACGGGTGCCCATTGGTTCCAAAGCTTCAGGCAGAGACTTTTGTGTCGGCAACAGCATGTTGCTCACAAGGATGCTTGGACAACAGCATTCGCCGTTTTCACCATCGGCCTGACAAGGGGGTGAGAAACAGCACGGTTTTTCATGTGTGGTTTCTCGGAATTGCTGCGAAAAAAACACACGTTTCTGAATGAAGGACTAAGACTGCATGCGGATTGTCATTGAAATAGGCATTTCAACTAGTAACTAGTTGTTTTTGTGCTTGGTTGAAAATTAGAAGTCAAGTCATTGATGTTTCAATACCCACGGAAACATACGGATGTCTGGTTGGTGGTTTGGAACATGATTTTTATTTTTCCATATATTGGGAATCATCATCCCAACTGACTTTCATATTTTTCAGGCCGGTAGGTCAACCACCAATTAGATGTTAGTCATGGTTGGTTCTGACTGTTGCCATTGCAGTTTGTTTCAGGTTCCCTAGCAGTATCTTCAACATTTACATGAAAATTATATTTTCCAGAATTAACATCTATTAAAGTCATTCCCTCTGCAGGATTTACTATACTAGAACCTCCAAATTTTAAAACTACAACTGGTTGATATAACTTTGATTCGTCCCATCTTCAGCGTTTTCAGTTCCGTGAAATGTTGAACCACGATGACTTGGGATGTCCCATGGGATGACTTGGGTTTCTTCAAATGGGGATCCCCAGTCGTCACCCTTTGGGGTGTAAACTAACATAGCTATTGAAAATGGCCATTTATAGTGGATTTACCCATTAAAAATGGTGATTTTCCATAGCTATGTTAGTTTACCAGAGGGAAAGTCATGGTCATGAAAATGACGACTGGATGAGAACTGCGGGTACCACATTTTAGGAAATTTCATGAAATCGCGCTGGTTGGTGAGTATGAAAAGAGCCGCCCCAATCGAACAAAAGGTACAGTACGTCACGAGAAATTGTATGCCGGCCCCTCTATTTTTCCCAAAAGGACAGTTATTGATCACGCCGAGGATGATTTATGAGTGATACACTCAACATCATTCAACATCACTTAACGTACTAACATAGGAACATGAATATTTCAATGATGATGATTGTATCGCAGTGATTTAGATTTAGATGTTTTTATGCATTTCCCACTCTACTCTCCTCAGAAAGTTAGAAGTGTGCTTCCGAAGTGTGCTTCCAGGATAGTACAAATATGTACAAATTATTTTTACCCCACATTTTCAGGTGTCCAACTGTTCTTGCCGGTTGCTACACCCTTGCCCTTATGGTTATTTACTTTCAGAAGATTAACATGCAGACATCTAAAACATACGGCAACAGGCGACAGACCCCCCAAAAATGTTTTAATGAAGCGACGGGTATACTCTACGTCTTAAAGCTACGCAATATACCTGCAGTTAAAGCTATGTATGACACGAATATACTATAGACATGACTACACATGTGTACCTTGTCTAAACCCCATTCAATATAGATAGATTACCATAAACCTTAGTGAACTAGGTATAGCCAACTTACCCATCTACAGGGGCCCAAGTTGAGCCACCTGTGTCACTTTCCAGCTGCGCACGCGGCGATCAGGATCTACTTTCGCTCGGTGAAATACGCCACTGGGCCAAGATGGGCTGTACGAATCCTCGCTCTACGGGGGTACACGGATATGCAACCAACTTGATTGTAGGCTATTATACCATATTATACCTCCGCAAAATAATATTGGGGATTAGTTGTCAACAGTTATCACAATCACAATCCCATGGTTGGAATCCCCCATTCACACCAGTATCATGGGGAGACATAGGGTTTTGTTTGAATCCTGCTCATTTGCGCCATAAACTTTGATTTGTTTTGGAGCTGCCCTCCGGCAATCAAACGTGGCTTGCCGGAAAATCCACGATATATGCACGAATTATATGTATACAAGTACAAGGTGGTGCCCCATAGTTAGCTAAGTTGGTTTATAACTCCAATAACTATAGTGATATCTACCATAAACCATAGTTATGGGAGTTATAAACCAACTTAGCTAACTATGGGGCACCATCTTGTAGTATATATATATTCTTCGATGATTTTCCCAGCTATAAACCTCCAGCCATAGTTCGGGGATTTCCAATTGCCATGTTTGATTACTGGAGGGTAGATCCATTTACCATTACTCTCACGAAAAGTTAACCTAACTCAAGCAATCACAACAAACAACAAGGAAACGCTGGTCGTGAGCAGGAAGTCCTGATGACAGGGTGGCAGTAGCTGGTTACTAAGTAAACTAGCCAAATGATATGGAGAATCCATGGTTTTCATACGAAATGATCTAGAAATGGTTAGTAATGTTCCACATGGTACCAGTAGTTTACTTGTAGTAAATGATCTAGAATCCCTTAAAACCGGCATGTTTGGGATATTGTTCAGCTACTAGATTCACTCAATCGGATAATTTTTCTTCACCCACAGTCGGCATAAGATAGGCAAAAAAATCGTCCATTGGCAAAACTTTGTTGCCCTGACATATCAGGCACCATTGGTACTACCCTTCAGACATCATTGGTTCCACAGACACCATTATTAATTTGAAGCAGTTTCGATGTGCAAACTTGGCCAGATGATGTGCTTGATAGCTATCAAGCACTCAGAGGGAGCCTATGATTTGGGGCATTTTAAGGCATAGTCTTGCAAAGCCAGTTTCTGATTACCCTCTGGTAAACATGCAAAAAACTATGGAACATCACCATTTTGAATGGGTAAATGCATTGTTTCGACTCGGCCATTTTCAACAGCTATGGAAGAAATTACCAGAGGGTACCCATCGATCAAGAACTTGAAATGTCGATTGAGCGATCCGCTTTCGGGGCAGGATGCATCCAAAGAACTGAGCAACGAAATCCTAGCTGTGAAAGTTTGACGGCGGACTTTCCAACGCATCCAAGGTTTGAGTTGTTTTTGCATCGGCACCGATATTCCCATGTTGATATATACGTTATATACATAATATATAATTATATATAGAGTATTGATTTCTTTTGTATACCCTATGGATCCAAATGTCACTTCTGCTCGCCCTCTAGATCACACCCAAAACACTTTTCAGGCGGTACTTAAATCAACTATTGATGTAAACCGTTTGACAAATACATATAGAAGAACATTTGTATGTATGTTGATAAGAAACCATGTCAATGGCATTAAATAGGACAATAATCCCTTGGCATTGCTTGGTAAATTATGGAGTATGAAATAGTAATATTTAAAACTACAATATAAACCTTTGACTGAACCAGTGACTTAAAAAGAAAAAAAACGACAGTCACAACCAACAATTGAGAATCACACTACTGTAGTCACTGAAATTCTGTTATCGCTGTTTCAACCCATTGTTGCTTGGTTACTGTAAATCAATTTGCTGTTCGTTAAATTTCCTTTTACTACAATGCGAGGCCCTCCAGTTATAAGTTGGTTTATAAGCCCCAGTAACTATAGTTATAAATACCAAAAACCATAGTTATTGGAGTTATAAACCAACTTAGCTATCTTGGGGGCCTCACATTGTAGTTAAACCAACCTTCCTTTTTGGTTACCCTCCTCTAAGCGAACATTGATGTGGTGTGTAACCACACCATGAATGTAGATCATCAATTCCGAACGGCTTTGAAAACCATGGCTTTTCTACGAATCTATGTTGAGTTTACCCATTAAATCCCATTAAACAACCATTTAAACCATCATTAAATCTCATTAAACCCTCATGAAATCATATTCAATCCCATTAAACCATAAAAACCCACCTTTCTCTGGAGAACCAACGGTGAAGTCGGGACTAGGTCTGTCCTGTGGCCTGCGGCTGTGACGGCAGCGGGTTGCCGGGGCAGAAGAGGGACCTGTCCACCGTGAGCGCAGTGCCCGGGCGATTTCGACATTTGAGGCATTTAAATTAACCTGGTTGATTGGTTATGGAAATAGCGAACCTAGCCACTAATCAGGATGCAACACTACTTGATTTATGGTGATTTGATGGTGATTTGATGGTGATTACTATCATCATCGTAATTTTATTTTGTATGACGCTTGAATACACTTGAATACAACAGATACACATAACATACACTTGAATGCACATGATTTTTAGTTACTGCCTTTATTAACCATTAATATGTACGTGTACCATCACAATCAATCTTAGATCATGTTGTTTAGTTTCATCATTATCGTTTTACTATCATCATCGTTATCAAATTGTTATACTTACCCTCCGGTAATGGCTGACATAGCTTTTGAAACAGTCCATTTATAGATGATTTACCTACGAAAAACAGCCGTTGTTCAATAGTTGTGTTAAATTACCAGAGGGTACTTTGTGGCTCATCGCACCTAGTAAGTAGGTTATCAGTTATAACCCTAGTTATAAGTGGATTAACCCTAATTATTCCACTTATCTTAGATGGGTAGAAACTAATCCTTTAGTCTTTTGGTGTCAATGGGGTTATCACGGGATTATCTACGTTCACCAGCTCAGACGTTTTCTATTTTTTGCAGGGTATCTAAGATTGGCCATGTTAAAATGGTCTGGTTGATTGGTTAATATAGGGACTACTATGGATTACTTGATCTATGATCATGATAATCTCATTACCCAGGCATGTTGGTTTGATCATGGCTTTAGATTAGGAAATCCATGGAATATAATTGATTTATAGGGACTTGTGGGGATTTATGGGGATTTATCATGGATAACCATAGAGACCTGATTTAACCAGCAAACATGATGAATTTAACCAGCAACATTTCGTTTTACAATATTTTTTAAGGGATCATCGGATTGATGTTTTTTCCTTTTCCTGGTCCGAAAAGTTTTAGTCGTTTTTTCTGCTTGGGGATTTGATTGATAGATGATATAGATGTGTATGGGTCAAAATTATAGACAATTGGGACCACAAATGCTAGTCTATTTTGAACATTAACATATATTAACCATCCATTTATTGGGCTAACAACTTTTGACCCATAGATGATGGGGTTTGTCCCTTTTTTTCAGCAGAGATTTGTTGTTCATCCGAAAAGTTGGGATCTCGGATCTGGAATGACCGAGCCCTGTTCTCCCGAA